CAACTGGATTGGTCTGAGAAATATTTCATGATGTGTAAAGTCTTTTTACAAGCAAAATGAGAAATAGTGATTGACTGTTTTAAAAAATAACTAGAATAATAATAATAATGATTGGGAAAAACATAGAAAAGATATTGAATGATGAAGCAGGGAGATTAATGTCTCTGTATTGACTGACATGCATGGCATTCCCTTTTGAAAAAGCAATGTAATACACTGTAAAGTTATATGTAATCCAGTGTAATATAAAGAAGATTATGATGATAATAAAAGTTTAAAAAGAGAGAGAAAAAAAAGAATTATCTATTTAATTTTATTTACTACTACCATTATTCCTCCAAATTGCTATGGGGCATGTGCGCTCACCAGAGAAAGAGAGAGAGGGAACATGAGAAAGCAAGGTGCCAGACCCAGGACTAGAATAGCAGCTGGCCACGCAGGAGGCCGGCACCTCAATCGGCACACCACCACTGGAACCACCAATTCTAAAAGGAAGAATAACTTATAAAGAGACCATATTCCCATCCCACATTAATGAAATCCATTTTTACTGTTAGGGTTTTCGGGTCTGAATGTAGCAACTATAAAAAATGTGAAGACCTACGTGTCAATAATTCAGAACTTTACACTTACTTTATAATGTCAAAATACTTAAGACAAAAATTGTAGCCACTTTTTTTTTTAAACGTTTTTGCCACAGGATGTGTGTACTTGCCAGAGACAGAGAGAGGGAAAGTGAGAAAACACCACCCAGGGGGAATGGTCACGCTGCAATCCCTTCTCTTCCACTCTCCTCCTGGGATCTGGGCACACAGGCGCACACACACACACCCGGCATGATTTTTAACTACTGCGTCTGGGACGTGAACCACATTCAGCCACGTGGGAATCCAGTACCTTAACCATCATGCCACCTGATGACCCCACATGGATATTCTTAATGTTTCTTTCACACTCATGTCCAGTCCATCAAATCCTGTCTGTTTTAACACAAAAAAAAACACAGGTTCAAGGGGCCAGTAGGTGCCGCAGTAGTTTTGGCACTAGATCCCACATGGCCAGCCTCACAGATAGTCTCATACCAGGGGCTTGGAAAACATGCTGGCAATGTGTGTACATGCCCAAACTCAAGAGATGGAGGAGGGACTGCACCATGGCCATCTCTCCTAGGGGTGATTTCTCACTTTCCCTCTGTCTCTTCGTCTTTCTAGGTGAGTGTCCATGCCCTATAGTAAAAAGAGAACAAAAACACAGACTCTGTGCACCGTGCACCAGCCCCTTCTAACCATCCTGCTTCCTCTTCAGGGCAATCTCAGAGCACAGATGAGCTCTAAAGCTCCTCTGGCAAAACCATTCCACCTCACTCAGAGAAAGTGACCTGTCCCACACTGTAGCATTTTATAAATAATGTAAACTGAATAAATCCTGTTACCTGATACTGCTATTAATATAAAATGGCCAAATTCCCATGTGCATTCTCATAAAATGGTGATAAATTACTTCACATAAAATAGTCTGTGAAATCCATCCCACCCTTGATGTTTATTTTTAAGTAAATAACTCTTTTAGTATTAAATTAAAAAAAAAAAAAAGGTTAGAAGAAATTTAAGAACTGGGCCAGTCCTACAGTTCAAAATCTAAGGAAGCTGGATCCCACATGGCCAATTACAGTTTTTGCAGCCCTGCCCTGATGGCTGCAAAAACATGCTGGGCGTGCGTGCATGCGTGCCCCCAAAGGCTGGCAGGAAGGAAGAATGGAAGAAAAGGATTGTGGTGTGACTACTCAAGAGATGGAGGAGGGACTGCACTTAGGGGTTCTCATTCTCTCTCTCTCTCACTCACTCTCACTCACAATGAGCCCTTTGGTAATTAAAAAAAAAAAAAAAAACAACTTTAAAGACTTTTAATTTGATTACCCTCAGTTGAAGGATGAGACAAGGGAGACAATAATCAAATTAAATCAAGAAATCACAGTGAAGTCAAGACTTACATACCCTCTTCGTGGCCCACAGTCCTGACTAAGGGTGTGAGACAGACTGGCAGTACAGATGGGTGACGACAGGTCAGGAGGACCCGCTAGGGACCGCAGGGCCATCCTTTGTCACTCTTCTAATCACCACCCAGTGCCCATGTGTCAACAGCAGGGAGGCCACCATCTCTACCAGGGGCCATCTGAAGACTATGTTCTCCATGGAGGGAGAGCATCCTGCACTGAGACGAGTCTTGCAGACTTACCCAGGATGAGGCCCACCATGGAACTGAGGTACCCAGTACCACTGCCCAGGTTCAGGAAGGAGAGTCCAGGCTGCAGATCCAGGGCTTCCATCACCTCTGAGTAGATGCACGGGGCCGAGAGGTGGATGTTGCCATGCTTCCACGCCAAGTCTTTATAAGCATTTTCTTTAAATTCTTCAAGATAATAATCTGCACGATCGATAGCTCGGAAAGCCTGTTCGACCAGCTCCGTCCGGATATACTGTGCTTCTTTCAGGTTGTCAATCAGCTCATCATTGTCTTCACCGGCACTCACGGCACCACCCATGTTCAAGGTCACACTACAATTAGACATTTAGAAACCCTTTTACAGTGAAGTGAAGAGCAGAACAGAGGGTCTGAATGTACACCATTTTCGGACTTTAATTCTGAAAACAATGCAGATGAAGTATCTTTTGTCAATGCCCCCTCATGTCAGATTTGAAAGAAAAATATTCCAGTTCCATTAGAAATCAAAAACGCTAAACATTCTGTGCTTACTGATATTCAAATTTAAGTGGTAGCCTCTATCTCACCAGGGAACTCTGCACCCCTGAGTTAGCCTTACCGCCTCCCACCTAGCCCACCTCACTCCAAAGACCTCCCAAGTCAAGCAATGTGCTGCTTTGCCTTTTGGTATTCAAATTTTGGGCAAAACCTTAACGAAACTCTCTTCCCAAACAGAACTTACTCTGTTCTCATTGCTACAAGTACAAAGTCAGTTTATGGCTAAGCTTAGGGAAGGAAAGGCTGCTTAGACTGCCTACACTGGCTCCTGGCAGACACTGCAGCCTTCCCAGCTCCACAGAAGTGACACTGCACTCACCTTCTCCCAGGCTGCCTCCAGGAAGAACCCATGTGGCGCACATCCCCTCTTGAACCCGACCACTAAACACAAGTGCCTTCACGGAGTCCATGCCCTTGCACCTGGAGCAATCCTGCTCTCCCTACCTCCGTAATACCTTTCCCAACTTTAGACTCATCTCATGTAATTTTTCTAAAGTAATAGCTTTACCTCATTTAAGATGGCAGCGCTTTACAAAAAAATAAATAAGCCATTGGCGAAAAAAAGACCACCAGACCTCACAAAAACTTGACATTTTCTGAATTTAGGACAACCTTCCTAACAATCTATTATAATTTTATTACTGTAAAGTTAATGCTTGTTCTCCCCTCTAACAGCAGAATAGGGATTATAAGAAACACCAAGGGGAGAGGGAATCAGGTGGTGTGATGGTTAAAATGCTGAATCTCACATGGCCAGCTCCACGGTTTGAGTCCTGGACCGGGCATCTTGATGAACATGCTGGGCACAAGTCCATGCATGCCCAAAATTCCGAGAGGAGAATGGAGAAGGGATTGTGACATAGCCACTCCCCCCAGGGGCTGATCTCTCTATCTCTGTCTTTCCTTCTCTGACTTTCTCTTTCTCTTTATCTTTGTCTCTCTATAGCAAAAATATTTTTAAAAAGAAAAGAAAGAGGGACCAGCAGTTAGCATAATGGCTATGTTGCTGAACTCCAATGTAGTCGACCGCAGTTCAAGTCCTGGACCTGGTGGCTTAAACTCACGCTGGGCGCATGTGTGTACGTGCCCAAAATCCTGAGAAGAGAATGAAGGAGAAGGGATTGCGGCGTGGCCATCCCGCCAGGAGGGATGATTTCTCACTTTCTGTCTCTCTGCCTCTGTCACTCTGGCAAGCACACTCACCCTATAGCAAAAAACTCTCAAAAAAAAAAAAAGAAAGAAAGAAAGAAACAAAGAAAAGAAAAGGAAGAAGCACCAAGAGGAGTGAGTCCATGCACAACCATGTGCACAACTGGCAACAGTTTTCAAGAATGAAAATAAATGACCTCAGGATGAGTCTTCAGCTTTTAACAGCCGCAAACAAAATGTGTCAAGGATGTGGCTTAACACACACTGTATTCTAGTATATGGTAGAACAGTACTCAGAATTAGATTTGAGAGCTGGTCTCTGTCTCTGTCGCTCATTAATTTTTTTTTACTTTGTAAACTTCTTAGCTCTCTGACCCTCTTTTACCTTGCTAGTTCTTACCTTTCCCCCTTCCCAATCACAAGCCAATCACCGTAAATCTACATTTGAGGTCTGAGCAGCCCTTTTTACGCAGCAAGCTAGCACACTGCACAGTTTCCATTTTTTGCTTTAAAATTTTTCTTTTTTTTTTTGTTTTTGTCTTTTTTTTTTCTCTTTTTCTTTTCCTTTTCTGTTCACCTTTCACCTTTCTTGCTTTTCCACTCAGCCTCCACACACTAAGTGTCTACACGGGGCTAGGTGCACAGTGGCCAAATATCTCAATACTTTTAGGGTCAGAGTAACCCTTAACTTCCACAGAGCCTGCTGCACAAAGTACTGCAGAGAGATCACGGGTCACCTCCCCCACATGCCTCTGAATGCTCAGATTTAAATCCAAATATTAGGAAAAAATGTGTAATCTATCAGATGACCAGAAACCACTACAGAGGCACAAAAAATATGAGAAGCCAAGAAAATATCTCTTCCCTAAGGTGGGGGGGAAAACCTCCTCACCCTCCATAGACAACAAGGGAACTCATGGAAATGTCAGATAAAAAAATTAAAATATTCATAGTGACAAAACTAACAGATCTTGCAAGAGAAGAGAGACGACAAACTCCAAAAGATGCAGAAGAAAAGAGACAATGAGTTCCAGGAGATGAGGAAGTTCTTACACGACCAGAAAGAGGAAATCCACGCCATAAAAAAGAAAACGGAATTGTTAGAGATGAAGGATATAATACAGGAAATCAAAACCTTCCTTGAAAGTATTAAAAGCAGATTAGATCATGCAGAAGATTGAATCTCAAATGCAGAAAACAGAACCTCTCGTGTAGAAAGATTCACCAAAAAGACTGAGAAAATAACCCCCAAATGTAAGAATAATATATGAGTAATACTAGATACAATTTAATGCCCAAAGATCTGGATAATCGGTATCCAAGAAGGTGAAGAAACTAATAAGAGCATTGATGATGTATTCCATGAAAATCCTGGAAGAAAACTTTCCAAACCTAGAGAGGCACTCAAAGATCCAGACCCAAGAGATACAAAAGACCCCACAATCTAAGAAGATCTCCAAGGCACATCATAACCAGATTGACCAAAACCACAAACAGGGACAAGATACTAAAATTGGCAAGAAAGAATCGTCAAGTTACTTTCAAAGGATATCCCATCAGGTCAACATCGGACTTCTCATCAGAAACAATGCAAGCAAGGAAAGAATGGGAAAATATATTCAAAGGGTTAAGTGAAAAACAAATTCAACCAAGAATACTACACCTGGCAAGATTATCCTTCATATGGGAAGAAAAGACAGAAAACAAAACTTGAAAGAATTTTCCAATATCAGCCCAGCTCTCCAAGAAGTGCTGAAGGAAGTGCAACACCAAGAAAACTAAAGACAGACAGACAGAATTAAGAGTACAAAAAGCAACCAAGAGAATGGCCAACTTAATGATAAGGACGAGTCTGGAAAGATCAATAATAACGTTGAATGTTAACTTTTCAGACTTTAAACAGAAAGACCAGACCACGCTAACACAGCAAATTCAGCAGAAGATTAATTACATGAGACTAAACTGGTGAAATAGAACGTGATGACTTTTGAATAAAACGTTACTGATTTTCTTCTATGTTTTGTTTTACAGATCTAAGGATTTTTGTCTTCTCGTGACCTGCTGATGGGCTCATCTACCTATTGTTTGAACTGAATTCAAACCTTTTTCCTGGCTTTAAGTCTTAAGCAAAATCTTTAACATTTTTTGATACTGATCTACTAAAACTAAATGTTTTTCTTAAAATTAAAAATACCTATTGAATGACTTCAGTAAGATATATAGCCCCAGGTAGGTGCTATTTTATAGTATGTTCATTCTACTCACTGAGATATATGCTTAAAGTCAGATGGGTGTTCATAGATATGTATATATCAGCTGCACTTGCAACTTTAAGTATTTAGATTAATTAAGATCTTTAGTGGAAAAAAAAGGCATGGAAAGCAACAGTAAATAACAGATAGTGTGGGAGGAAGGTGGGAAATGGCAGAGGGTGAGAGGTAGGGAATCAAGGGGGAAAAAAAGAAGCAGCAAAATATATAAGAAACAAGAAATGGAAAATTATTTGTTGACGATAACACGTATGGTAATATCCTTGATTGAGCCAATATGCAGTGTATTCTGGATGGAAAATCCCATTTTGTATACTGTAATGGAGTACAGTGAGTGAATGTAGAGAAATAAATTTAAAATAAAAATTTAAAAAAAACTTTAGAGCTGAATATATTAGGTCATTGGAAAAGTCATGGCATATTTTTCTATGGTTTTCTGTGCAAAAACGTGTCATGACTTTCCCAACAACCCACTAAGACTTTTCAAATCACTAGAATGGTCCAATTGCTAGATTTTCACTGCCTTTTTAAGTTGTTTTACAGCCCTTGTTATATTAGTTCATGGTCAGTTAACTCAGACGGAATTAAATGTTCATGAGAGGTTGAGTTTAATCTTGGAAAAGCCACTTAGTTCTGAGGCTCCGCCCCTAACCTATCAAGGTCATCTTAAAATTTGGGTCACTGTTCAAAAGTAGAGTCACATGTCTGAATAAAGGCCTAGAAATCGCACACGGCCTGCACAGCTCCAGGTCACCCAGAAGCCTAGTCCAAGGTCCCCAGATTCTATCTCAAAATTGCCACTTCATCATTAGAAGGAAACCACACACTATACACAGGACGTGTTTCCTCCCCTACTAAGTACCAATCACTTATTTTGAACTTTTCTTTACTTTGAAAGTTTATTCTAGGGGCCAGCAGATGGTGTGGTGGTTAAAACTCTGGACTCCCACACGTCTGACTGCAGTGTGAGTGCCAGACAAATCACATCTGGTACATGTGCATGTGTGCCCAAAATTCCAGGAGAAGGGACAAGGAGGGATTGAGATGTGGCCAACCCCCTGGCGGCTGATTTCTCACTGTCCGTGTGACTTTCTCTCTGCCCGCTCCCCCATGGCAAAAACCTTTAAAATAAATTATTTAACTAAATAAAGATGGCAAAAAATATTTTTAAAGCTTAAAAATAAAGCTTATTCTCTATCTAAGAGACAGCTTTTCAGTAAAATCAGCTACAGCTTCTCTCCAGGTCCACCAGCCAGTCACAGCCTCATGTCAACTGCACACATTAGGAGGTAGGTTGGGACTGAGCGGTTTATCTGCTCAAAGTAGGGTGGGGCTGGATTCTCACCCAGGAATGTCTGGCCAAATGCATGTTTTCTACACACCAAGGCAGCTTTTAAAACTCTCAAGGGAGAAACGCTCTTTACCATGTAATACTGACGGGTCCATGCAGGCAACACAAGCTGGTAAGGATGCTGCCTCCCATTCTAAGGCAGGGCCTGGGCTGGGAAGAAACTGAGGCAGGGCCCAGTTTACGAGCCCTCCTTGTGTCCTTGTACTGGCTGGTATTCAATTTCTCTGCTGTGAGTTTTACTGTTATTACGGTACCCTGTAAGGGTAAAACATCACCCCCAACCATTGCAATAAAGCCAATTAGTGATCTTGTAGAAATGTGGTTCTCTAAGACTGACAGGAGGACCAGGAAGCTTAAGACTCCCCCACCTGTCTGTTTTTAAGCCAAAATTAACATATAGATTAAGTTAGTATAAACCAAATTAGCATTAGAAGCATATGTAGACTAAGTTAGTTTAAGGCTAGTTTTA